TTTTTAAAATTATTTGTTAATAAATGAAAATAAAATTACTTTCATTTTTTTTTTTTTTTTGTAGAAATGTTTTTAGTTATATCATTGAATTAAATTATACAAGCACATGTGCAAACTGCTTACACACAATTTGAATAAAATTCAAATGGGCATCTGTGTCAGAAGTGCTGAACTTGCTTTCAGTCTGGTAATAACTATTGGGTAACAAGAAAAGAGTATAAACCAAAATGGGTAGCTCTTAGAAGTTATTTTTATGACTCCTGTATTTAAATTTGATGTAATGAATATGCATACACCTGGGTTCCCCCTCATAGTAATATGATTGGTTGGTGTCAGCCATAGAGACTGATGTGGAGGCTCAGGAGTATGCCTACGGACGACGCCTATTGGCTACGCCTATAGTCTTCACCTATTGCCTACCACTATGACGAGGACCAGTCCATTATAGTTACCTGATAGATTGTTCTACCCGGTTACAGTAGTTCAAAACCACTTTGCTACTTCGAACAAATATATTCCTTTCTGGGACATATCAAAACTGAATATATTTTCTAATAAATATAGTATTTTAAATGGACAAACAATTCAAATTTGAAATCTGAAACCTTAACAACATATGCGATGCAGATGATGCTGTGTTAATAACAGATTCTTGAATGTCTATTGCAGTTATGTGCAAACTGCAGCCTTCAGGCCACATGTGGCCCAATTGGCATTCTGAATGGCACACCTAAATTCTTGAAAAAAATAATGTTTATTAAAATGTTTAACTCCTTTCATTCTCACTTGTTCACTCACATATTCTTATGCATAGTGACATATATAAACAATGAGTAAGTACACTGTTTCCTGGGTTTCGTAACATTTCATTGAAAGTAACATTGTAAACCATTGGTGATTTTCACTACAGAAGATCATAAGTGTAAACACCTTTTGCTTCAGAAATAGGATAATTCTTTTACTCTAGTTTAAAAAAGTTTTTGCATCATCAAATGAATAAATTAGAAACAAATCACTCACAGTAACTTGTGTTAATCACTCTGTTATCAGTGATAATATTACACAAAGTCTTCAGTTTTTCTTAATTATAGAAAGAATCTTTTCTCCAAAGAAAAAACAATCGACTTTTCCCGATTTCTAAGGTAGATGCTTACGTGCATAGTTTTTTGTTGTGAAAATGTCTGCAGTATCTTTAATGAAAACTTACCTTGATTATTTGCTTATTAGTAATGTGACCCACCTTATAATGAACTGTCCCTCATGCAGCCTACTGTTCAAGAAAGTCTGAACAACCCTGGGCTGAGCAATAAAATCGTAAAGTTGGAAACAAAAAAACAAAAACAGCAACAACAACAGCAACAAAAAAAAAATGCTAATTTTTTAACTCCTAAAAAAATCAGATACTTATAATAACTTACTGGACAGTTTTTAAAAATTATTTGGTCATAAACAGAATTATTTTTTAATTTTGTAGAAATATTAACAGGAATTATTATCGAGAAAATCTCAACCCAAGACAAAAAAAAAATCTGTGATGGTGCAGGCCAGGGAAATGAGCAAAGGTACTTACCTAAAGTTGCGAAAAAAATATCCACTTCCATAACATAGCTTTCCCGTCAGATGAATGGTAGCAAAAGCAAAAAAAAAAATGAGGAAAAACATTTCCTTTATGTAACCACTTCAGTGATCCCATGATAGCAAATCACGAGACCTTGTAAGTATAAAAAATTGGTAAAAAGAAGATAACAACTTTTAATGCCCATAACAAAAACCCAGGTAAGTACTTTACTCTTCCCACCTGAACCATCAATTCTTCCACACCATCACTAAATTAAATGTGAATGGGCACTAGGCAAACATCCATGCACACAAACTTTGAGCGAAATTGAAATGGGTATCCATACCATGATGGCTAATTTGCCTTTCTGACAACAACCACTGGGTAACAGGGAAAGAGTATAAGCTGAAATATTTGATCCTTTAAAAACATTTTTATGATTTCTTCTGTATTTAAATGTAATATATTTACTAATAAATGTAGTATTTTACATGGATAAACAGTTCAAATTTGAAGTTTGATCCTCTTGCTGTATGATCCATTGCTAAAGGCACTGGAAAATGGTCAGCTCCACTCTAGAAAGTCTGAATAACACCTGATCTGCGCTGAGCAATAAAATTCCATGGGATAAATCCACTTTCTACAGTTAATGGTAATAACATTTTGAGCAGATATATCCACTTTCTGCAACAAAAGTATTAAACCCTCTTCATTGTTCTTGAGTGTTAAGATTCTTTCCAGTTGTATGAACCAGCAGTAGTCACCCATCACATTTGGGTTGAACCGGTCTTGATACTTTGATCCCATCTTGGGTATGTTACAACCTCTCACCATGCTAATCAGTTATCGCAACCAGATCCATTGGAAGAATATAGATGAGAATGCAAGTGCATTTTAGAAGATATTAAATATCCTTTACTTTGATATGCTGTTTGCATATTCATTAAATAGCATAATGTGTAAAATAAAATAAATGTATAAATGTCTCCTTTTAGTTTGCATTTTCCTTAAACCTTTCACTGCATAAATAAATATAACGGCCATTCCCATAATGATGCTAATTATTTATACACCAAAATATCCACTTCTTGTGGCATGAGGAGAGGGTTTTTTCAAAGCTGTGGAACAAATCCAAAATACACAGTTAACATTTAATAAAATTTTGAGCAGATATATCCACTTTCTGCAGAAAAGTGTTAAATCCTCATCATTCTTGTGTGTTGAGATTTTTCAGTTGTATGAACCAGCAGTAGTCACCCATCACATTTGGGTTGAACCGGCCTTGATACTTTGATCCCATCTCAGATATGACTTGCTGGAAGATTTCACCACGTTTATCACTCATGGTACCCAGATCCATTGGAGAGAAAAAAAAAAACCAATGGGATGTGAATGTAAAGAAAGGTATCTTAAAGACATCTGGTATCCTATTCTTATAGACATTGTTAGAATGTTGTTTATTAAATCATCATAGCTTTCAACTCTGAGGTCCAAAGAAAGTTCTGTACAACTAGCACAAATAAAACTTATGCTCAAGTAGGTATATGTGATATAAATATAGTCTTAAAGTATGTTGTATTTATGGGAGAACGTGCTCAATATCAGAGCATAAAGCACACTTTTTATTTCAAGTAGCAAAATCTTTGTTGATAGTTAATATAGAATGTCAAACAAGCAATAATAATAATTTGCAATAAAAGTAAATATTTAATCTCTTTTTAGACTTGTGAATTTTAAGAAAAAAACAAAAAAACAAATTGGGATGTGAATGTAAAGAAAGGTATCTTAAAAGATATCTGGCATCCCATTCTTCAGACATTGTTAGAATGTTGTTTATTAAATCATCATAGCTTTCAATTTTGAGGTCCAAGAAACTTCTATACAAGTAGCACAAATAAAACTAATATGGCCACATCATGGTGAAATGCTGCTTCCTGGCCAAGCTAGACTGATGGCACATAACACTTTCCAGGCTGGTTTGAATTCAGTTTTTCTCCTCCTAGCCTGGCTGACAGTCTGTAATGCTATTTACCTTAATCATTTACTTAACCATAATAACTGGTAAGAGGTTCTCATACCTTTCCCAAGAATATTAGCACATTCAGTCAGTTATGTGCCATGCGTGATACACGCTTAGGTGATCATGTATCTTTCAATACATACCTGACATGGCAGATTTTTTCCCACAGTAGGTTGCCATTTCTTTCTGCAGTAGAAAAGTTGCCATCAAAGGCTATAGAACCCAGTCTGTCCTGCTATTTACCCATAGCTGGGAGGAATAGAAGATTAAGTGAATATAATGAAACTGATTGGAATTTGAACTTCAAATTTGCTATAATTTTAATGGACCCTGAACCTAGCTGTTCATCAGTGTATCAAGGCAAGGCATTTTTTATGGATGTGTATTTAAATGCATTTTTTAGGAGTAGTTCATTTTTATTTTTATTACTCATTAGTAAAATTAAGTATCTCTCATTTCAAATTAAAAATAAAGATTTAAATATATTTTGATAAAAGTGAAATGTTGCCCAATGAAATATTATGAATAATTATTTTTCATTGCAAAAACACTGATTTAACAATACACATATATACATTTCAAAACTTCAAAGTCCAAATCATCACAATGATGCAAACAATTACTGACTTTGAATTTTGTTTTCATCCTTGATAATGGCTGGAACTAATTGAATCCTTAAGATCTAAGATCAGGGCCAATGCAAGGGTTTTGTGCCCCCCAAACATAATTTATGATACACCCCGCAAAAAAAAATCTATGATAGTGGCCCGCACTCTACTACATAACAATTTTCATAAGGTAATATTCATATAAAATACAAATGTTATTGTAACCTAATCATGTACAATAATGGGACATATGTAATATAGGTGAACAATTCAACTAAAAAAATAGAAAATAGATACAATGTATCTAAATACAAATTAGAGACCTGTCATAATAGATCATTCCATCTTAAATAAATCAACAATGTTTTGTGGCAGTTTTTAACATCGACTCGAGATTTTTCTTGTTAAAAAGTTGAATAATTTGAAACATTCGACATTATAGATAAAAAATAGTAAATTTTATATAGTGTTCTTTCCAGACTTAGCTTGAGCTAAATAAATTCATGGATTTGGTTGGAAAGAAAAAAAGACCCCAGAATAACAACAAAATACACAAATATTTTTCATTTTTTTAATTAGTTGTGCCTAGATTAATTTGTAATTTGTAATGTATATAAATATAGGTAGAAAAAGCAAAAGTTGATAAGATAGTAAGTGCCAAAAAACACTGCCTCAGTCCCCTAAATCAAGTATACAGGAAGGCTTCAGCCTAACATGAACAAATCTGTCAATATGAAAAATTGATTCAAATATTTAATTGACATTATTTATTTGTTATCTTCAGCAAAACTTGTTTAAATAAACATTTCATTTAATGCCTAGATCTATCTATCTATCTATCTATCTATCTATCTTAACCATCTTTGTTCCTCATCTGATTAGATGCTTATGTATTGAAACAAATATGCATCTTTGTTGTGAGTACTTGTTTGTCTACATGCAACAACTTATATATATATATATATATATATATATATATATATATATATTGACCATCTTTGTTCCTCATCTGATTAGATGCTTATGCATTGAAACAAATATGCACCTTTTTGTTTGTACTTGTTTGTCTGTATGTAACAACTTATAATATATATATATATATATATATATATATATATATATATATATATATATATATATATATATATATATATATATATATATATATATATATATATATAATATATATATATATATATATGGAGGTTTCAAAAAAAAAAAAATAATGGATTCCCCAGCTCTGGGTAAATAGGAGGACAGATTGGGTTTTATTGCCTTGAGTGGCAACCAGTCTAAGAGAAGGAAACTCTAAATTAAAAAAGCTCCAACCATGTTTAAATAGTAGGACAGAATGGGTTCTATTGACTTTGGTGGCAACCAGTCTGTATATATGAATATATTAATGGATTTATTTTTTTAAATCTGACATTATTTCTTATTATTACAAAAGTAAAAATGATCTTGAATTAAAAATAACAAATTAATTAATTAATAACTAATATATTAATTAATAATTTCTTTGTTTATGTTTCAGATCAGAAAATGTAAGTTAGCAGATAAAGATCCGGAAAAGTCTCTGTCAAAAAAAGATTCGACAAAGATTTGCCTTGCTGTAAAGACCTCTATGGCTGATTATATAAAGGTCTCTAGCTAAAAATAGTTTGCTAGATGAAGAGAAAACAGGTTCAATCACTGGCAAGAGGTTCATTTTCTTTAATAAGACTCTTGGTGATCCCAGCAGGTAGACATTAATTATACTGCTTAAAAAGAAAAAATAAAGATGTCAACTATAACATGTATACATAAATCCAAAGAATATATGCCATTGATAAATAAACAGAATGGATATAGGCCATTAATACATCAATTCAAAAGATATGAACATTTTTTTTTACTCATTTCACCCCAAGCAAGGCAATAAAGCCACTAAGATGCAAGGGGCTTACTGAGTGAATATTAGGAAAAAGAAAACATTATGAAGGAGGGAAAACAACAAAAGAACAAAAATTAAGAAAACAGAAGATAATGATTGTCACTGCATTTAAATTTTTTATGATCAAAGTTGACCAGAAAGCAAGAAGCCAAAAGAGATTTACATGAGCGAAAAGAAACTGTTAGCATAGAACTTACAGTCACATCTAGCCATTTCAACTGGAAAATGATGAGACCTTGTCACCAATTTTGTACAAAACTTGCATTCATAAAGTCTACATGCCAAAGAAGAAAGTTCATCAGAACAATTACCATGAATATATTTATAGAAAAGGCACAGGGAAATTATTTTGCAGTGGCCGGAAAGTATCTGAAGCCGAGATGCCAGGTCAGAAACAGTAACATTGCAAATGCTTCTTTCTGGATTTTATTAAGTATCTCTCAATATAGAGCAGGATCCCTAGACCATATGTGGCAGCAATATTCAAAGCATGGACAAATGGTAGACTTATAAATGTGTAAGATAGATTCTTCTTTGGATTTTATTAAGTATCTCTCAATATAGAGCAGGATCCCCAGACGATATGTGGCAGCAATATTCTAAGCCTGGATGAATGGTAGACTTATAAATGTGTAAGATAGATTCTTCTTTGGATTTTATCAAGAATCTCTCAATATAGAGCAGGATCCCTAGACCATATGTGGCAGCAATATTCTAAGCCTGGACGAATGGTAGACTTATAAATGTGTAAGATAGATTCTTCTTTGGATTGTATAAAGAATCTCTAAATATATAGCAGGAGCACCAGACCAGATGTCGCAGCAATATTCAAAACATGAACGAATGATATACTTATAAATGTGTAAGATAGATTCTTCTTTGGATTTTATAAAGAATCTTTAAATATATGGCAGGAGTCACAGACCATATGTGGCAACAATATTCAAAGCACGGACAGATGGTAGACTTATAAATATGTAACATAGATTTTTCTTTGGATTTTATCAAGAATCACTAAATATATAGCAGAAGCACCAGACTATATGTGGCAGCAATATTCTAAGCATGGACGAATGGTAGACTTATAAATATGTAAGATAGATTCTGGCATGAAAAATTGTTTAGCATAACAATATTTTTCTTTATTCAATGTATGAAAGCATATGTGATACTCTGCTCTCATCAGCTGCCAACCAGAGGAGGTAATACAGTTTCAGTGGTTAAGGCAGTACTACCACCCCTGGCGCCACCAGCAGCTTTTGCCACCGGACAGGGTATTGCATTTTGTTGTAGACATGTCAGTCTCTGTGAATTTTATGCCATTGCAAGTTGGATTTTCCAATGTTGTGTTCAATGATAGCGTTTGCTTTTGATCATTAAACAAAACACAACATACTCGTAGTGACCATTATCAATGATGCATTATGGAAGGTAAACAGGTGTGTTTCGCAGTGAACCAACTTTTCCCTGCAGTAGACCTAGCAATTGATTCAATATAATCTTTTCACTTCATGTCATTTATGCATAAATCCAAATCCCATTCAGACATATATCATATATTTGATTAATACAACATGCCTGAATAAATTATTTATGTTAATTAACTCTACTTACTATTGTTATGTGTGCCTTTCCTATAAATATATTCATGATAATTGCTTGACCCTCATACGTTAAATATGATGGGAGAATCCACCATATATATATATATATATATATATATATATATATATACTAGCAGTAGAGCCCGGCGTTGCCCGGGGATGTAACAGTAAGAGATAGATCAAGTATCGACCATCATAAAGACTGAAAAATAAAATTGACAAAGATTATTGTTTAAGGTTGACGGACACTCATGTCTTAATTAGTTTTTTTTTTTTATGAATTGGTCAAACCCAAACTCAAACAAAAACATTGTTTTCAATCATTATGAGTCTACCGATTTAATAGAATTTTATTATAAACAATTGTATTGTAAATGGAATTTTTAAAGCATTCTGAATGTAAAAATGAAGAAAAAAGTGTGCAAGACAATAAGAAACACTACCTGCCAAAAAAAAGTGAAGTTTTGTTGAAATCGGTTGAAAAATGTAGGAAATCCGATCCCATATATAAATGAACACACACACACACACACACACACAACCTGGGTTTTTATAATAAGTATAACTCGATATGAGTTGTCCCCCTTTCATTCTCGCGATGACTCTTAATCATGTTTTCAAATTGATTTTGTGCAAAAACAATTGTGTTTTTCCAATTTTTGGTGCTGTCAGAACCACCACAAGGTAATCTTACGTAGTCCTGTGAAGTTTTGTTGAAATCGGTTGAAAAATGTAGGAAATCCGATCCAATATATAAACATACAGACACACACACACAACCTGGGTTTTATAATAAGTATGATATATATATATATATATTTTAGGCTATTACATCGAAAAACATGTCAAAATTACTACACAAGTGCAGTCATGTTTCGATGCATATCAATGCATCACATTGCAGATGAAATTACCTTCCCTGCAGATGAAATGGCCTTGGTCTTCTTTGAAACAGGTAAGAAGAAGGGTGTTTCCACTGCATGGATTGTCATTTTAATTCTGGCTCAGAGTGTTAAGCCCAACTCTCATCCTGGGTTTGGAAATGTTCAAGAAAACCAGCTGGATCTGCCTAAAACAAAGTCAGATTTTCCTGTGATGAACTTTTCATCAGGTGTCAGAATATATGGCACCCCCTCACCAGCAGAAACCTTTGTCATGCAAAGTTCATTGTGCAGAATATTCTCAACTCTCTCTCGGGATATACTAACAGCATTGGCTATTTGATTTATAGACAATCGCCTGTCATCCATCACCATGTAGTGAATACAATCAATCTTTTCCTTCGTAGTGGTAAATGCAGGCCATCCAGACCTTGGATCCTATTCAAGACTCTCCCTTCCTCTCCTAAATTCAGCTGCCCACTTTTGCATTGTTGATACAACTGAGGTGTCATCCCCTTATGAAGCAATCACGTAAACGTAAATGTCCTTGAAAGTTAAACCCTTTTTCTCACAATAACAAATTTTGTCCATTTTCAAGAGAAGTCGCTACTAGTTACTTTTGAAGTCTTCTTTGAACAGTCAGATGTTAGTTTACCTGGAAAGAAACAATGTCAGTTATTAATTAAAAGAGTTGAAATTAATGCAGGCATGATTTCACAGTTCTAGTATCACTTCTTCATAGTCAACCTGTAAACTTTTCAGCCCACCCTCGTATATATACACACATATATATGCATACATATACATATTTATATACACAAATATATACTTATACATATCCATACATATATATATACATATATATGTATACATGTACACACAGATAAACATGGGAGATATGATTTACAATTGTATACATTAGACTAATTGTGGGTAATTGAATATTTTTCCATTTTGTCATTCGGTGACCCCCATATATATATTTGTTTGGAAATAGGGGGAGGAGGGAGTGGGAGAGAGATAGTGCGTGTGTTTGTAAAATGGGAAGGGAGAGAGAGTATGTGTGTGTGTGGAAATTGGGAGGGAGAGTGTGTGTTTGGAAATAAGGAAGGAGGAAAAGATTGTGTGTTTGGGAATAGGTGGGAGAGAGAGAGAAGGAGAGAGTTTCTGCGTGTGTTTGAAAACAGGGGAAGGAAGGAGAGCGTGTGTGTACTTGGAAATACAGTGAGAGAGAGAGAGAGAGAGAGAGAGAGAGAGAGGATGTGTGCATGCTTGAAAATAGGGAGAGGGAGTGTGTGTGTTTGGTAATAGGGAGAGACAGAAAATGTAGGTGTTTGTACATAGGGAGGGAGGGAGAGAGAGAGAGTATGTGCAAGCTTGGAAATAGGTAGGAAGGGAGAAAGAGAGTGTGTGTGTTTGGAAATAGGGGGAGAGAGTGAGAAATGTAAGTAACTTAAGATTCTTTGAAAAATATACAAACGATGTGAGGAAATTATATCTAATTTGAACGTTAGAATGGCAAAATAAAACCATACCCCCCACTACCACAAAAAAAAAAAAAAAAAAAAAGAGAAAGAAAGAAAGAAAAGAAAAATCGCGTATTATTTCAAATTCAAAGTAACATATTCTTGCTTATTTATTTTTCTTATCTGGCTTTTTTTTTTCTTTGTGTATTCATTTACTTTCCAGCCGAAATCTGAGATCTCAAACAAGCAATAAATGTTTTTCTTGAACCCTGCTTGCAGAGCCTGGTGGCATCCAAGTCTTGAAATGAAAGCCAACATTTTTCCAGACCAGTTTTCCTGTCGCATTTCTTTTATCTCCCTCCAACCAAGAATGGCTCAATAATAACACTAACTAACAATAATAACAAGAATAGAAATTGTCTTGCTGCACTGAAGAATCAGTGATTCATATATATATATATATATATATATATATATATATATATATAAAAAAAAAAAAAATAAAAAAATAAAGATTTGTTCGAATTTAAAAATACCTTACATTTTTTTTTTTATATGTCTTTAAGAAGAAGTGTTATTTATTTGTTTTTCGGATTGGGGTTACTGACACCTCATTTAGCTATTTAAAAAAAAAAAAAAAAGAAAGAAATCATTTAGTTTGCTATAAGTGTTGGAAAGTGGGGGATCAATTTCTTAATGAAAACTGTTCGAAAATGATCCCCGAGTTGTGGACAGTATTATTGAGGAAATTAGTTTCCATCAGCTCAAATTAAGGCCATTCTTTCTTTTTTTTTATTGAAAAGTCGCATTCGATTTTTTTTTCTTTTTAACTGCTTTTTTTTTTTTGCCCGACGGAATCCACCTTTTTAAGATTATCTAATTTTTCATTTTAATTTTTATTTCTCAAGAAACACATTTATTTATTCCTTATTTGCGTTTTGTAATTAAAATTTATTTAATTTGGCGATTATTCTTTATAATTTTTTTTTTTTTTATCAGAGAGTAGCTAAAATTAACGAAACACTTGCTGGGGTCTTTTTTTTTTTCGCTAGTGTCAGGCATGGAAGGAGAAAGAAGGGAGACATGTAACTCAATATGTTCTGTTCGTCGATTTTCCACTTAATAAATAGATTTCTTCTCTTTTCGGTTTATTAAACGGTACAGACGATGACAATAAAAACAGGTTCTGTTTTTTTTTTTTCAGTTTTATTGGGGTTTTAGGGAAGAAATATAAAGATGAGATATGGAGGATAGAAAAACTTAGTGAAAATTATTGAACTAAAAAAAGCAAAATGAAATAGAAATCATCTTAGTAAGAAGAGAAAAATTAATAATGGTGAAGTAAACAACGAGAGAGTTATTATTGTCGTACATTCAGATACTCTCTCGTCTAAGAAAGAAATATTCTTTTTTCCCGCTTCAGGACATATTTAAAGGCCCTATCTTTCTCTACCTAAAACATGTCTATTTTTTTTTCTTTCATTATTGCCTTTTTTTTTTCAATTATGTCTTCCTAAGTGTTCAACAATATCCGCAACTCCATTTACGAAGCTTCCAAAAGAAATCCTTATTTTCTTGTTTTATATTTCAAGAATTATAAATCAACAGAATTATAAATCAATTAACTCTTTGACTTTGATGGTACCGACTTTGAGAAAAGCTGACTGACCTATTTTCTTTAATACGGGAACCTCTTCTTGCTATAAAAAAAATGAATATTTATTTCACAACCAGTCCCATAATGAACATTACGTCTCGTTACAAGGCGTGGGTTTATATTTTCTTACTGTATTTATTTAACTACAGTTTGTAAATTTAAATTAATTGCAGTTCTATGTAAAAAGATATTTTGGAAGTCATATTTTTAAACAAACCGATAAAGTTTTCTTACGATCATAACATTTAAAAAAATTATAAAATAAAAAAAAATAGTAATGACATGGATATGTGTGAATGAACTGTATTTAATTTTTCGTTTAGTTTTTATTTATAATTTAATCCATAAACGAATTGGTTCCAAATTTCAATTATTGTCATATTGTTCATCCATAATAATAATAATAAAAATGCTCTATTTTTTCTGTGAATTACCAATATAATCCATAATTTTATTTTTAATTTTGAGGAATTTCGAATTATTACTGATTATTAAAATTCTGTATGCCCAACCGGTTGAAACTTTTTTAAAGATAAATAATGATAATTTACGTAATTATTTAAAAAATAAATCTTTGTTCATTCATTTTCCAAAAATATCTTGACTTATTTGCTATTTTGACTGTTGATTTAATAGAGCGTGAAGAGAAAGGCAAACGACTTAAAATGACACATTTTCATCTTTCTGATCATTTTTATTTCGATTATTTAAAAAAAAAATCCTACAGGAAACCTGGAAAAGCAATCGATGATTTGTTGTTTTCATTTTTTTTTAAAGCTTTGTTTGCAAATTGAGTGATTTATTTAGAAATTTGTAGCAGTTCCACAGTCTGCTGTGTCGGGTTGCTGAGAGCAAATATTGAGAACTTAGCTATATAACAACCACCAAGCAAAGAATATGGTTATGTCACTCAATTTTGTAAGGTTGTTCTTGTTCTTCGCTAGTTTTTCTTTCTTTCTATTTCTTCTAGCAGCCGCCATCCTTGTTTTTCAACCTTTTACCTCAGATTTTTAGCCTTTTTCTCCCCTGAACGTAAAAAGGAAAGAAGAAAAAAAAAAACGTTAGAAAAAAAAAAAAAAAAATCTTACGGCAAACAAATTTTATTTCTTCCTTCATATTATCGACCAAATGTGATTAGTCAAATTTCCACAATTAAGGAAGCCGAAAAATAAATAAATTAAAAAAAAAAAAAGTCTAATATTCCGAGCAACTAGAGTTGACTCGGGGCTGCAAAATGGCAACGACGTCGAAGCGTGAAGTGAAAGAAGCAAGCCGTGCTTTATGCAAATCAGCCAACGACAGTCACGTGACAATGTTTTCGCTGTTCCATTAGCCTGACACACCTACACGGCAAAGCGTTCTGGCATGGTCTTTTACAGATCTTATCCGCCGCACGATTTCGCTGTAACGGGCGAGTAGAATTATTAAAAATGAAGAATAAAATTTCCGTCGATCGCTTTATTGGCTTCGTGCATTTCGGGCCGGCCGAAGTGGCGATTTTTTTTTCTTAGCCGGCGAAACGTCATAGTGGGACTCGGTGCGCACGCTGGTCTCAACAGCGTTACAACATGGCGAGCATGTGTTAGTACGTTACCGGCTTGCCGAGTCATTTTTGAACGGAAAGAAACAAAAATATTTACAAACAAAAGCGAATCATTTACAAAGTCTTTTACGCTTCGTCTACGCGCATTATTTTCATTATCTTACCTCGGGACCTAGGACGGATTAAAGGTAAGACTGTGTACCGTTTTAACGGTCCTGTTCTTGATCAAGTGGGTCCTACCGCTTCTTGGCCGACATGTTCCAAGGGTCTTCCTTCTTTCTACTTTCTGTCTAAAAATCAGTAACGGCTTTCTTATTGTCTGGAAATATTTGCATTTTCATTTGATTCTACTCTTCTTTTTCCTCCCGTTCCGAAGAGTAACCTTCCCTGATTGCATTTCTTCTTCGTCGAGGCTTAGTTTCTTTGTTTTTGCCATTTTTTTTTTGTGTGTAAAGAATAACAATAAATCGAGTCTGCCCACCCTGTTGTTGGACATGTGAGAATGGCTTGCTTAGCTTGCTTTAACGGAGACTTGATTTCTTTTCGTTAGGCTTTTGGAAAATGTTAGCCGCAACTGGGTTAGTTGATTAGGAGCTGTGAAGTCGTCGATTAATTGTGGAAAAATACCGACATCAAACATGGAAGCGAATGAGAAAAAGGAAGAAAAAGAAATCTAATATAGGTCAACTTCAAGCTTCTTGCTTGGAAATTCTTTTTTTCCCCTGATCTTTTTCTTTAGTTTGTCATCATCTTCCGCCTCAAACGTCTTTTAACCCCCCCCGATTTTCGTCAATTTATAAAATGCGAACTGATATTTTAAGCCATTTCCTTTTTGATTGTTGCGTGAGTTTAGTCGTGTCTGTAAACCTTTAAAAAAAAAAATCACTTGGGAACAAGGTGGGGAGCCCCCCCACCCCTTTTTATTTATTTATTTATTTATTTTTTTAAAGGTTAATTTTGACAGTGGTGTTTTTTTTTTTTTTTTTTTTGGTAAGTTTTTTTACTCTTAAAAAAAAAAAAAAAAAAAAAGTGATAATTCTATTTATGTCGTTACTAAAATTAAAGAACATATAGAAAAATGTATTTTTTTATTTTTTTTTTTTTTTTAAATATGGTATAATTTTTGTCACAATCTAAATGTAAACAATTTTTTCGTCCGCGGGGGTACCCTACAAAAAAAATCCACCCACTTTCGGGATTTTAACATACAGACATCCACACCCATCCCGATAGAATAAAAATAAAATATCTTTTTCTTCCTTTTTTTTTTTTTCTTTGTTTTATTATTTTATTTTATATTGTCTTTGTGTCGCAATTTATTTATTTCATCACGAATAAAAAAAATAAAAAATAAACATTGCGAAGATAAAAATAAAAACTATGCAATTTTTAATTTCCCAGTAAGTCAAGAAATTGCGTTAGTGTTATTTTTGATATGACGATTATTAGTTTAGCTGTTGCACACGTGTATTATTGTTGAATATCGATCTTTAAATTGTCAGAAAACAATTTTAAACTTATTTTTAGAAAAAAAAAATCTTTTCTTTCTCATGTTAAAAATAAAAGAATTATTCAACCCTATGGATCAGATTTTTACTCCTATAATTTTGGTCATATGAAAATAAATTAAAAAGCTGTTAGCATATATATATATATATATATATATAAGTAGAAAAATATAGTTTATTTTTCTTGGCTAGCTGAATTATTCTTTCTTTCTCAACCCCAACAACAACCGGTGCTTGATTACTCGTGCTGCTATGACGAGGAAGGAGAAAAGTCTTAATAATTTTCTTCATGTTGGTGGCAACACAAAAGGCTATAAATTGAATAATTTGTTTGAATTTCCTTGTTGTCTGCTTATTGATGAGCTGTGGAAAAATAAATAAATAAAAACAGCCCCCACCTCCTTCTGCAACTGTTGTTGTTTCCCCAAGTGAATCAGGGGGCTGGGTATCCTTTTTTTTTTTTTTTTTTTTTTTTTCAGGTGGTTGCTGCCTGCCTTAAGTCTTACTCTTATACACACACACGCTTCTACACAAGTCTTTCTTTTGTGAAACCCCATCGATCTGGGTGATCTGGAGAGTGCGTGCCATCGATCGCCTCAAAATTCCATATGTGATGCGTAAAATAATAATAATAATAATAATAAAACAGGTTTTCTTGTCTCTTTCAACGACGTTGGCTTGATTACTTATAATCTTTTTTCTTTTTTTTTTTTCCTAAAGTGTTTCAAATATTCTCTTGGCATCTTTGCTTAACTCACATCCTCCCATTTTTAATTTTTCTGATGGTGTGTGAGGGGGGGGGAACATACCTTTTTTTTTTCTCTCTCTCTCTTCCACGAAATCTATTTCTCTTTAATTTTTTTCTTTCTTTTTTTTTTTTTTTTTTTTTTTTAACAAGGAAGCAAAATGAATTCCTTTATTCGAATCACCGCCAAAATTCATTTTTAATTTTTTTTTTTTTTTTAGGACTTGTGTCCTCATTACGCAATTTTATTCCGATTTTTTTTCCTTTATTTTTCCTTTTTTTTTTTTTTGTTTTTACTTCAATGAAACGACAAAAAATATTTCAGTTTTTCTTTTTGAAAAACTAGTTATTTTTTTTTATTGCCATCTTTATTATTATAAACCATTTTCTTTTTTATTAGCTAGATTTTACATTCAATCAGGTAAAATAATTTAGACTAAATAAAAACTTAGATTTTTTTTTTTCTTAATATGATTGGATACAATTAATGAAATAATCTTGAAATTCTATTAAATGTGAAAAAATAAGATCGTGAATGTAAAAGGCTACACCATGTTGGTTCGTTGGTTGGTTCTTTTTGTGTTGGGAATCCATTATTATTTCTTTATCATGTCTGTCGTCCTGTTAGTCTCTAAACAGCACGCTGATTTTTCTTGCCTTTTTTTTCTTTTTTCTTAATACCTCATCACTATTGGGCATAGATTGTTTCAGCGGTTTTTGTTTTTTTTTCCCTCTAGGAAGCCTCTTCTTATGTAATCGATTATTAATAAATAACCGTTCCTTCTCACAAACAACCTGCTTCTTGACATTTTTGTTTCTTTTCTGACTGAGATTTAAGTCACTGCTTTTGACTCTACGAAATGATCATCATAATTATTAAAAATTATATAATCGAACTTGATTTTCACCTTTCGGGAAAAAAAATACTACAATTCCATAAATACTGAGTGGAACTTTACGTAACTACGCATTTATTTATGTTGGCAGAGGCTTCCATAAATAATGTTGTCATGATTTTGTCATGGTGTATTTTCTCTTTCTGCTGATGATCAACAACTTTTTTTCTTTTTCAAAAACGTTCATATTAGGAATTCTTATTCATTATTATTATTTTTCAAACAAGTTTTATTTTCTCTTTAATTTTAACATCCCTTTCCAATTTCCATTCCCATTTCTATGCTTCGCTTCCTTTTATTCTCCCCCACCTCCCCCCGTCACGGCCACTCTTAATGACCCCCAGTGGGTTCATCTTGACGTGACATCATCTGAGGGTCAGGAAATGCAGCGGAGAATCAGGATATATAGAGGGAGGATTTTTTCCTTCTTTCCCCCATTTTTTAATGACAACAGGTCTTTTTCTCCCCCCCAAAAAAAAAAAAAACTAGTCATTCCCTCACTACTGAAATTTGTGGGGTGAGACGAAAGCGACATCAACCACTCCACCTCCTGCTCCTCCTCCTCCTCTCTTTGTATTGATGTTGTTGCGGGTCTGGATGAGTTTGGCCGTCATCTTGCCCTTCTCTTTAAAAGTACATGTCAACTGTAATTTCACTTTCTTCCCTATTTACCCAAACGCTTTTCACAATCGCATCAACCCAGCGATCCCCCTTTTATCACCCTGGCTAATGGATGAAACAAAGAATTCTTTAGCATTTACACCCCCAATTAATTGTAAGGGCAAAGAAACAAATCAACGGTTGCAATTGCGATTTCCCCCCCCCCACACACACACATGACACTGATAATTCGTATCTTTAAAAAAAAAAACTGCCACTTTGTAATCTTGTGTCGTTGAATATAAAATACCTTCCTCTTCATCTATTTCTCATCAATCCTCCTCATCCTGTTTGTTTGCATTTTGACACTTTCTTCTGCAGCTACAATAAGCACATGTCACTGCTACTTAAACACAGTCGGATTTTTAACGCTCTTCCTTCTTACTTCTTCTCTAATATCTTTTCTTTTCTTTTCTTTTAAAAGAAATAATTCCATTTTAAATTCCCCATATGTCATGAAGGGTTATTGATTGCAATTCGTTACATAATTTTGTTTTCGATGAGAAGTTTATTTCAAATTAAAACAAAAAAATCTGTAACTACTACAAGTGTGCGTAATATAGTTTTTTTTTTCTCTACAAAGTAAGCCTCAATTTTCATACGTATTTAGATTTTTTTTTTTTTCCTTTGACGCCCTAGAACCCATTTTAATTGGACGTGGAGATTTGTTTCGATCCCTAATTTTTATTTCCGACGACCTTCGTTAACATTAGTGATACAGATATGTAACTTTTTTTCGCTTTGGAAAAAAAAAAAATGGAAAAGAGGTTTTGTAAGCATTTGTTTTGTTTGTATACAAATGTTACTAGAATATTTTTGTCTTCCTCATCCGTTGAAGAAAGGCAACACGCAACAGTGTTAACTGGTGGTAATAAATAAGAAAACACTTTTTCTTTTTTTTTTTTTTTTTTTTTTTTCGCACGGTGATCTTTTATATTTAGAAACTTGTGTTTTCGTTTTACCTCATTCCGATGTTGTTGCTTTCCAATGATTGCTCTCCTAAAAATACTGAGAAAATATAGCAGTATATAAACAGACAGACAAGTTGCCAGTTGCCAAACAATCGAGGTGCGATTTACTACCTTTTAAATTAAAGGACGAATGTGGAACAATGTTGGGTTGGTGGTTATGAATTTTCTTTTTCATGAATGAAACTCAAAACTAGACACATTTTTGGAGTATTTATTCTTTAACAAGAAGGAGAGGAATGTTCAACAGGCAACATTATTTAAATATAAAAATAGTTTTTATTTTTCATTTACGCCACGGATTATTCTTCTTTTTTTTTTTTTTTTTTTTTTTTTTTCATCAATTATTTTAATCTTGAAACCTTTTTGTTTTCTGATTGTTTAACAAATATTTTCAGTTGTTTTTAATTT